CGCTGAGTTCCGTGGATTGCACTGGTCCTGCAGGAAAATAATACCGACTGTGGCTTCATATGGGTCAAAATAGGTCCATGTGGCACCCAGATCTAACAGACAACAGGTTCCAACAAGATCAGCGCCACCAACAACCTAATTATATAGGACACCTGGTGTCTCTCTAAGCCTGGGACCTGCTCCAACTGGAAGTGGGAGAAAGGTTGCAGAGACAACAGTGCAGCCTCAGTATCACAGGAGGTGGAGAGTGGTGAGCCAAGAGCTGGGGCTGTGGAGACCATGGTGGAAATCTGACATAAGAACCCAGACCTAGAACTTGCCGAAGGTTGTGGCTGGTACATGCAAGATGAGGACTTTAGCCACTAGGCTTCTGCGCCGGGCCCTAGGTCCTCTTTCAATTCACTAGTTGACACAGGTTCAACTGCCTCCAAAACTCTTCACAGCGTGTCTTGCCAAAGATTCAAATTTTATATACATTCATAAAGATATATAGAAATATATGTGTATATATCTTTGTAAATGAATATATTTTCTCCCCTGAAAGGGTCTTTCCAATTTTCTGTCACAATTAATGAATCACCAACCATCTACTTTCCAGAGTTCACAAACTTGGAACTGCTCTTTCATACCCAACCGACTCTGCCTCTCCAAGTCTTCCTACATGTTCTGCTGGCTCTGTCCTCACAGAATTAGATTACAATGTCACCAGCCCAGACCAATCAATCAACAATTCTAGAACACTCAAAAATGACAAGAACTAAGGTTAGCCGGCGTGCCCACAATCCTTATGTTCCCAGCTAACAGTTTCCTCCCGGCTGAAGGCTATTTTTCACACTAATTTTAAAGCTGTCTGCCTTCTTCAACCATCCCCCAGCCTGCCTCCCGCTTGCCCATCTCACAAAAATAGTTGAGTCAGTTCCCTTAAACACATTCTACAAAAATCAACTCAGAACTTTCCTAAGCGCCTGGTCACCCCCTTTCCCTAAACGAACACAGTCACAGCCTCTCAGTACTCCCTCAACAGCCCTCAGCTCCCGAGCCATCATCCGGGCTCTTCCGAGTGTCCTCTCAGACTGGAAACGGCTCTGTGCCTCCGCCAGCGCCCGCTCACCTGGCCCGCACTACGCCGCTTCCCCCGCTACCCCCGGGAGGGATTCTGTCCCCCGCACCACTGGGCTTCGGCTCACGCTCATCTCCTTCAGCGAGATTTTTCCTCACCATCTTTTAGCTTCAGTCCCTGAAACCTGCAGTTCTCAGACAGGAGAGGCATTCAAAAAGTTAATTAATGATTAATACATTAATTAGGAGCTAAATCCCAAATTTACTTAACAACTAATATGGTTAAAATAAATAGTATTTTATTTTAGCACAGATATATTTTTGCTTAGCCAGCAAACTGACCAGGAGACACTTTTTTCAACAACTCTATCTCAAGTAGCTTTGAAAGTTTAGCTTGAAAAATCTGAGAGACGCGTTCACACGTCTTGGACATTCACATTCCAATGTGGAAGTCAGTAATGACAACCGCAGCCAAACTACCCGACCTCAAGCACTGCTATACTGTCACAGCATCTGCGTTTATACGAAAGGAAAAAAAATCTAATTTCAATTCCACATTTAGGATCTCCACAATTAAATCTGTATTTACGCCAAGGCCCCTCTTCATACGCACTATATTCAGCCAAAATGAATTCTTCCCTGTCTCCCAAGCCTCTCAGCTTCTCCCCATGCTCTGGCTTTCATAGTCTGCTTCACTGGGACAGACTCAAAGCTAATCCATCCTTCGTATATAACTGAGATGCCTCCTTCTAATCGTTTCCTCCTAGAACACATAATGTCCCCATCCTCTAATGCCGTTGGCACTTCATCTAGAGCCCTTCGATGCCATATATTGCTTTGTCTAGAGACTGTTACAATATTTCTACCTCCTGCTTGGTATTTGATAGTAGCAATGGGTTCTATATCTAATTCTACATTCTGCAAAGTACCTTATAATTCACAAAATCAAGAAGTGTGCAGAATAAAGCAGGCTCATGGTCAATTAAATTTGGATATAGATCTCTTAGAATTGTTAACAAAGAAAGATATATTTGCCAATTTCCAATTAAACAGACTATGCCCATTTCACAACTTATTTGGCCTACGAATCATTTTGGATTTTTTGCAGAACATCTTGTAGGATTAACATTTCTAAGGTTGTGTCCTTTGAGCTCTGCAGTCTCATTAACCTTGCCAGCTTATCTTCAACTTCATCGGTAATCATACTTGTTGAATGGAAGAATGAAGGATCTTACGGATTTAAAAAAAAAAAACAACAAAACTTCTACAAACACAGTCAGCCCAGGAGAAATGGAAGAGAATGACAGAAAAGAAAATTAGCAGATGAGAAGGGAGTCCACATTCTTAGTATTACACTAAGAGGAACATTTGCAACAAAAATGGAATTTATCACCCCAGCCACTTTCTGAATGCAGAAGGAATAATTCATGCAAACCACATGGAAATCTCTGTTGGTAACAGCCATTCTGGACTATAAAACCGAGATTCCTTGCCAAAACATGTGCCACAAGGTTTGACACTAACAACCTGCTCCTAGGATACAGACTACTACAATCCCTGAATCCTCTACCACACATCTCGGTCAACAAGGGAAATCTCCTACAACTTTGACTTTATGCATGAAATCGACTCTGTTCAGGGAGGAGTTCGAGCACCAGTAACACAACTTTAAGAAAGGCAAAGTTGACACAAGCAAGCATCATCGGTTCAAAAGCTTCACTTTACGTTCATTTAACTTCTCCAGTGTGGAAAATGAAAACACAGTTGTGTGTGACAGTGCCTGAAAACCAGGATGCATGGAGACAGTATCCTTGACTACATCCGGCCCTCGGCTTCCCAGTCCTCCAGCTGTGACTAAGAAAGGGAAGCCAGAGCACGGACACTCCCTAACTTGTCCTACAGCCTAGATCCTAGGCCACAGCTGCAGGAAGTGGCAACAGGGGCTGAGGGTTGCTGTTTTCTGCCCTCCACTCCTTTCTCCTGAAGCTAACAGATCTACGTCTCACTTGAGCACGAGAATCCATTCAAGAGAAAGAACATGGTAGGGCTACTAGTCTGCTAATAACCCAGAAAAGCCACACTTCTGTCTCAACTAGGAGTACTGAATTCTAAATGTATGTTTTCAAGTTATGATGAAGCAACAGGCCACAAGTGGCAGGGAGTAAAGTCCTCTTGAAATGAAACTCTATAGATGTGTTTAAATTTGTTCTAGAACCTTCTGGCCACAAGATCATAGTCTCTATCATCACTGAATCTTACTATGTAACTGCAGTCTCTACATCAAGTGACACTAACTTGGTTGAACCTCTTTACAACATGGAAGTACAAAAGCACTTTAGCATCTTGCTCAGGGAAACAAAGTCAGCAAAAGTCTTAGCAAGAACGACATCTCCACCTCCTCACGCCAGGGTCAACACACCCGCAGCCCAATTTTTGGAATCAGAGAAACTACTGGACCCTCCCTTCTAACATATAAATCCGAGAAGAAACACCCAATATTCTAGAATCCTTCACTCATAAATGACTATTTTATTCCTCTTAGCAAAGCCAATGAAATGAAGTCCAAAACGTACTAACACTGAGAAGCGGTCATTTTGTTATCCTGCATGGTGACTTCCTGCAAACCAGTGTAAAGTTTATTTTTCATACTGTGTAATAAAGTAAAATTATTTAAAGCGATACATTTTTTTTATTTTAAGGCGTTGCCCATGTTGCAATTCCTTCCACTGTATGCTCTTCCTCATCTACTTCATCTTCAACCTTTTGAACAAAAGCTGCATCAGGGTCGTCTTATCATCCCATAGTTCTTTGTTCATCTTCACTTGAAATCCGTCTACGTCCAAACACCACCCGGAATCTCAGGGAAAACAATTTCAAGCAATTTGCTCTCGGGGCGTTGGAGCCCATGGGTTCCCCTGCTTCTGAAGCTCTCACAGCCTCACCTGATGAATGAGTTATTCTATGTCACATTCAGAAACACCCGTGGAACCCTCCGACCCCTAAGATTCAAAGACGGCCGAGAGGCCTTTCCTACAGAACCTTCGTGTCTCGCAGTTTCTTTCCACAGACTTAAGAAAAAGTCCTGGCGGTGAAGCCGAACCCCCACAGTGACTTTAAGAGGCGTCCCCAACGGTGAGTGGCCCCAGGGGACAAACGTCAAGTCAGGTGGTCACACGCTCAGACAAAACACGCCAGGAAAATCTCAGCTGGCATGCAAACTCTGAGTCAGGAGTTGAAGTCACAAAACCTGCTGACTCTCAGAAAGAAGGAACAATTTTCGCCGAAGGAGAAATTTTGCACGTAGCAGCCGCGCAGTGTGTGTCCGAGTATTACTCACACTTTGGTTACTCAATAAGAGACACGAGCACACCCCCCCCCCCCAAGAAGCAAGCAAAAAAATAAGGAGCCCTCCCTTCCTTTCTCTTTTCCAAAGCCTCTTTTCCTTTCTTTTCAGGCTAGGAGGAGATGTTTCCTGCCTTTGTGGTCCCCACTTGGCTTTCGCCTACTCTCCCCTACGCCCCGTCTCTTTCACCGGATTCTGCACGAAATGAAAACGTCCAGGGTTCATTCAGAGCCCGAACGGGCTCGAGGAAAGCCACGGCGGGACCCGGGGCTCCGGCACCTGTCGGTGCTAGAAGCGCCTCGGAACGCCTGCCGACCCCAACCCGCATCTCGGCTCCGCCTCCCTCCTCCTGTCGGAAGGGCTAACCGGGCCTGCACCGTCCAAAAGCCAACCCAACACCCCCGTCCCCTCCCTGACCCGCTCCGGGCGCCCCGCTTCGGCCCGCAGCCCCAGACACGCGTCCCTCGGCCTCGGGGGGCCCGGAGCACACGGCCCGCCGCGCCCCTCGGCCCCCGCAGCCCGCTTGCCCACCGCCTCGGGCCCGGCCGCCCGCCCCGGGCCTGCCGACGCCCCCCGGGGACCGCGCGCCGGACCCCACCTCGAAGAGCTCGGCCGTCGTGGCCATCCCGGCCGGCTGAGAGGCTCGGCCCGCGCTGCCCGCCGTCTTCCCTTCACATGCTGCGCCCCAGCGGCGCCGCGCACACGTTCCCCCGCTCGGCCTGGCGGCTCGGCGGCTCGGGCTCCGGGCCGCGGCGGGCTCCCCGACTCCTTCCCGAGCCCAGGCGCCACGGGAGAGCGGCCATGAAGCGAAGCCGCAGACGCCTGTCAGCTGCCTCCCGGCGCCGCCCGCGCCGCTCCCATTGTCACCGCCTCACACGCCGGAAGTGGAGCTGCGCGCCGCCCGGGAAGGCGGTCGGGAGGGGGCGGGCGAGCGTCGCGGGCGGCGGGGCCCACCGAGCCGGGGCTTCGCGCTCGGGAGGCGGAGGAAGCTTGGGGCTCGCGGGCCACCATCCCGGAAGTGGGCTGGACGAGGAAGAACGTCCCGGGGAGGCGGGGGTCGTTGGGTGGGGACTCAGGGCGGTTGTGAAGCTTCTACGAGCGGGTTCCTAGAACCTTGCGCTGTGTCACCCGCCTGAGGGGGGCCTGGCGCTGTGTCTCTCCGAAGCCCACCGGTCTGGGGTGCGGCGGGTGGGGGTGGGGGTCCCTCGGAGGAAGCCGGTGCGCGCTGGCCACCTCGCTGAGGGGATGCGCTAAGGCCAGCGGCTGACCATGGCCCAGCGGGCCGTGTGGGTCATCAGGCACGAGCCGGGCACTCCGCCGTGTGGCTCCGTGAGGTTCTCCAGGTAACGGCGCTGAGGGGTGATGGGGCAGAGCGGGGTGTGGAGGTGCCCACCCAGGAGGTCCCCGAAACGCCCAGCTGCAAAGCGGAGACGTGGGTGACCGCTAACGCTGACCCTCGCAGTGCTTGCGAGAGGGACGGGAGCTGGTGCCCGGCGCGGACCCCACGGCTTGTGTTTTCCACCCACGCTAGTGTTCTTGTACCTTAGAATTCACCTGCTTCGGATCGCGAGGGGGCGATGCAGAAAGGGAGGGGACAACTGAACGCCAAACACTTTCCGTGGATAAAAATCGCTCTAGGACGCTTTAGCTCAGAACCCTTGGTGGACCGCATCAGATTGTTTTCGATTTCCAATGTTTGTCTTTGCTGGAAGAAAACTTACAAAATTAAATTATAACCCCCTTTTCTGAGGTGGGATGAGTGGTCGGGTCCCACTTTACAATTTGCCAGATATTGTCCAAACGGCTTGGGTAAGGAGAATTCGTAAGATGAGAGTGACGGTCTACTAAATGACCTTCATCTGTTAGCCACGCGGCCACTAACAGTTTTCCTTTGCTGAGAATTGAATTCTTCTCTGAGGAAAGCGCTATGATGAGTGACCCAGCGTAGTGCAGTTGAAGTTTACATGAAAAGTGATTGGCAAGATGAGATTCAATACTTCCTCCTTTCTAACCTAGACAGTCGCTGTTCGTGAGGAACATGAGAGTTGGAGTTTATAGAGTTTTGCTGAAGGATACCAGACCCCAAGTTGGACCCCAAGTGCAGGAGGTTCCTCCTATTCTTCGGTCCGTGGCTTATTAGCCTTGTTTTATTTACGTATTCCCTGGTTACCTAATTAAACAAGTCTCCTTCTCACGGGAGCTCAGATCCATTTGACCTGATCCTTTTGTTTGTATTCCTGTGTGTTTCAGGTGACATAAGCAATGGGCTGGGCGATGCAGGCTCTAGACCCTGGCTCTGCCTCCCTGGGGGACTCCGCGGTGTGTCTCCTCCATGGGACACCGTCCCTAGCGCAGTGCTCAGGACACTGCGGACAGACGCACCCCGAGACAGGTCCCTGCTGCACCCCCAAGCTTTCCCATCTACTCACCCACCAGCAGGAAGCAGGGCTTCTGTCTCTCCATCCTTTCCTTAGCCTGAGTTTTGCCAAAATGAATCCTAGCCCTTGGTTTCCTCTCCACTGAATGGAAACTTTTCTTTGAAAGTTGCCGTGTTTCTCATGATTTGTAGGAGTTCCTTGTGTGTTCTTTACATTAGCACCATGTCAGGTTATTGGTATTTCACCTATATTTTTTTAATTTATCACCGCCATGTGGCTTTAGGTTACCCTTACACAGAAATCATTAATATTTATGCAAATAGTTAACATGAAATTTGGGTGTTTTATTGCAGTCTTTCTCTGCTTCTATTTGCCAGAGAGGTCTTCCGGCATTCTCTTGTTTTACTTTCCTTGTTTTATCTATTTCCTTTAGGCCTTCAGTCGTCTATATTGCATCTTTGGATACAGTGTTAAGTGGAGTCCCGTTTTGTTTTCCACCCTCCTGTGGGCCAGTTTTCCCGACATCCTCTTGCAAGCAGTGTATTTGATCTTCATTGGTTTGTGGAGCCATTGATGCTGTTTGCTGTGGCCCCCATAGAGGCACCAGTCCATTGGATGATCTGCCCTGTGCCAGGGACCACACTGCTTTTACACCTGTGACTTTGTCACTTACCTTAGATCTTAGAGGTAGGGTTTATACTACTTAAAAGTAGCTTTCAGGTTGTTTTCCTACTGCACTCAGTATTTTAGAAGAAAAATGTAATTATGCTTGGTGAGCTTCCCAGCATCTGCACAGAGACACCACGTTGGATTCAGATAACCCGTCTGTCACTTGACTCCTGTGTCTCGAACAAACTAATTATCATTTTCCATGTTCTCACCTCTAAGGACAAGCAGCATGTGCCACAGCTTATCCATGGGTGAGGCTAAGGACAATGGCCATCATTAACATTTAATAAAACAAATTAAATCTTATTTAAAGCAAATTACTGATGCTAAATAGCATCAGCTGAAGTGTGATTTAGGTTGCTGCTGTACGTCATAATTGTAGCGCTGTATAAGGGCTGATTCCTATTTTAGAGAGAGGATAAAACAGGGACCCAACACCATGGCACAGCAGGCTCATCCTCTGCCTGCGGCACTGGCATCCCAGGTGGCCCCGGTTCGAGTCATGGCTGCTGCACTTCCAAATGGTCTGGGAAAGCAGTGGAGAATGGCCTGCAGCCCATGCCGCTGCAGCCACGTGGGAAGCTGAGGAAGCTCCTGGCTCCCAGCTTGGGCTGGCCTCAATCCGGATGCTGCAACCCAATAGAAGAGCGCTCTCTTTCTGTTCCCCACCCCCTCTCTGTAACTCTTTCAAGCAAAATAAATCTTTTATTGAAAAAAAAAAGAAGAAAATCAGTATGAAATAACAGGTTGAATCATTGAGCAAAATCTGTACTGAGCCTCTATTAAGGCGTTGTGTAAGACTAACCTCTTATCTTTCTTTTCATCCCGAAGTTTTTATCCATAAGAGCCTTCTAGAATTATTCTAGAAATGGAGAATAGTACATTGGACTAGCGTTCAGTCCAGAGTTTTCTGCTCTTCTAATTCAGAAACTTTGAGAAAGAAGTGTCATTTACTTGCTGGCTCGTTACTGATGTGATATTTATTTTTTCCGCTTTCTCCATTAAGGAAGTACGTCAGAATTAGAGGAAAAAAAATTGTTTTAGTCAGCTATGCTATCGACTATTGGTAAAACTGGTTTGTATTCATCCCATTTCTTTTATAAGTAAGCTAGCTTACAGATGTTAGGCGGCTTATGCAGAGGTTAAAAGCTCGTGAAAGACCTTGTTCTTGACTTTGAAGTTAAGGAAAAGGGAAGGTAGAAAACTGGTTGTTTTTTTTTTTTTTTAGAGAGATAGGAAAATGTGATTTAACAGGATTCTTTAAATAAGCAAAAGAGTCTTTTCTTGTGTTTTCAAAAAGGAGGAGGAGGGAGTGAATTAGAATTTTGTTTGACCTGGAGATGCTCAGGTATTCGTTCATTGGCTCACAGTGTCTTCCAGGCCTGTGGAGGGAAGTCACTGTTACTAAAAGGATCTTCCATGGTGTTGTAGGGTTGGCAAGAAGACTCAGTACCTTCTATTCACTGCAGGTTGAGTGGAAGAAAACAGTCCATTGTAAAGTGTCATTTCAGCTTAGCAAATCCACAATGCTAGAGGGTTAAATCGAACGACGTCATTGGCCCTATGAAATCACGAGGGTAAAAATCCATCCAAACGCATACAGTGGTCCTGCATCGTGCTCCTGGTCTAGCAGGGGGAAATCGGAGTGGCTGCAAAACAAGGATTTTGAATTAGAATCCTGTCCTCTGTAAATGTGAAAAGGAAATAACTGTTGAAGGAAACATATTCAATAGTAAATAATGATACTTTATATTTTGTGATAACCCCAAACATGAAAAGGTTGCTGTGGTACTTAACATGTAATATAATGTTTTAGGTCATTGCCTTTTGTGGGAGCGTGTATGAATTTGTTATGTGTTTAATTGTTACTACTATTTACCTTGTGTTTTGGGTGGTTTTTTTTTTAATTCCTAATTTTTTTTTTTACCTGGAAAAATCATGTTTCTGTTTCCATAATACAGACGGTATCCGACTGTAGAGAAACGAGCCAGCATCCTCAACAGAGCAAGTTACGTGCCGATCCCTGAAGACGGGCCCTTTCTCAGAGCGCTGCTGTTCGAACTTCGCTTACTGGATGACGATGAGACCTTCATGCAGAGTCGCGATAGCTGTTCGCACGTCAATAAAACCTCCGTCTATGGACTCCCCGTGGGAGGTGAAGAACTCTGGCCGGTGGTTGCTTTTCTGCAGAATAACATGATATATGCTTGTGTCCCACTGGTTGAACAGGCTCTGTGCCCTCGTCCACCGTTAATTAGCATTAGCGGGATTTCACAAGGCTTGGAACTGCTTTTTGGGATACAGGATTTTCTTTCCTCAGGTCAAAAAAATGACACGGACCTAAACACGAAATTGAGCCAGTTGCCTGACTTACTGCTACAGACTTGCCCGTTTGGCACTTTATTAGATGCCAACTTACAAAACGTACTGGATAATGTTAGCTTGACTTCTGTGACTCAGCCACAGAAACAGCCAGCCTGGAGAGCTGGAACGTACAAAGGAAAACCACAAGTTTCAATTTCTATCACTGAGAAGATAAAATCCATGCAATATGGGAAACAGGATATAGCAGACACTTGGCAAGTTGTGGGAGTCGTCACGTGCAAGGTGAGAGCCTCTGGCACTTGCGGTACAGTACCCCGTGCAGACGGGAAGAAAAGTCACGGTTGCTGACTGTTTGACGTTGTTTGATTATACTCCTACTTTTAATCTTCAGCAGCATTAATTAGATTTTAGTCATGCAAAATTTTCTCCTTTTGCATTCCTTACCCATTACATTAATTGTCGGGTCCTGAATTGTCCCATTAACTCCAGGATGAGCATAAATTGTCATCATAGTTTGTGTGGGTCAGAATTCCAGGAGCAGCCCAGCTGCGAATTTGGAGGATTGAATCTCTTACAAGGTACAGTCTGAATGTGTTATGGCTAATAGTTACCTGATGGCTTGACTGGGGCCGGAACGTGTAAAGTTACCCCTACCCACAG